TGTCTATATATATATATATTTTATGTGTGTGTTTATATATATATATATATATATAAAAAACATTTATTTATTTATATATATATATATATTTCAAATTGTCCTCAATTTTTCATCTACAAATAAATTAAAATTTCTGATGAAAAATTGAGGACAATTTGAAATATCAAATATATAAATAAATAAATACTTTCATAAATATATATATTTATACGTGCTTCTCATTATGCTATATATATATATATATATATATATATATATATATATATATATCGTATAAGAATGTCATTATTACAATATAAATTAAACACTGTGTATATGTTAACAGGATTGTCTGATCTTTTCGTCGAAAACATTGATACAATTGTCTTATCTGTGGATGACTAAATAAATTCTATCCTTGAAAAACGTGGCATCAAACGACTGGCACCATTTTTGTACCTATGCAACAACAGCATCTTGAATGTGGAACTTCTTCCCTGATAAATTTCGTTTGATGGGAATCAGTCTAGTCTATGCGTGGATCACATTGGCTGGGTGTCAGGTGGCATTGCCTTACAAGAAGATGGCACCTTTATGCAAATGTCCTTCTCTCTTTCGACGACCAATTATCCTCAATATCTCCAATGTTTATCAATGTTGATTTGCGGGGAGGATTTATAATGGAAATGAAAAGAACGTGTTGTCATAAAAGAAAAATCGAATTAGTTGTATTTAATCATAATAAACTAGTATTAACACAATATTGTCACAAGAGAAAAAAATTAAATACTCATAAAATTGTTTCGGAGGGCCGCCATATCCCCAGATCTTGTCCGCACGCAGAGAAACAAATTATTAATATATGCAAATATCCCAAGAAGAACTGTGATTTTTTTTTAATTTCTCAAACAAAAATAATATAAATGATAATTATATTATAAGAAAAATTCAATAACAACAGTCCCTCAATTTCTGTTTTCTTAAATTAAATTACATCGCTAAGCATCCGCCATAATTGACCTTGACTTTCAGTTAGCCTGATGTATATTTATGAGCGTTCTTGAATTTAAAAATTTTGAAAGACGAACGATATTTTTACTTCCGTGTATGAGTATTTCTTATGCATTGATAAAGTATATAAGAGGGCAAAAAATATCGACTATAAAACATTTTCCTTTTCTCATTATTCAATCTTTTTATAAATATATTTTAGTTATATTTGAATTTTGTGTGTGTGTGTGTGTGTGTGTGTGTGTGCAATTATTGTTAAAGTTTGCAATATTTATATAAGGGCGCTTATAGATAGTCTGCACCTATATACCTTTTTTCATCAGGGAAGCCACTCCTATAGCCAAAGCGAGCCGTTAACAAATTAGCTAATTTGATAAAGCAAAGTTCAATTACCTATTTAAGGAAACGCTCATCTCCCCTTGGGGCTTCTATAAATTTATATCTACTAGATTCATTTTGCACCGCGAACGTAAATACATTAATCTTTAAATGGATTTATTTCATTCCAACATTATTTGTACAATCGTCGTTTTTAGCGGTTACACGCGTTTGAGTTGCTACTTTGTTTTTGTTTTGTTTTTTTGTGTTTTTTTTTTTTTTTTTTTCTCATAATTTCTAAAAACGTGAATTTAATAACAACCTTTTGATTTCTGTTGGGCGGTACATTTTTCCTTAGTGGGACTTCTCGATATAGGCCTGTTGATAACAATCTCACCCCTTAAGAAAAGAAAAACTGGGATAGTAACTCAAATACTTTTACTCATTAAAATAACGTTTATAGCAATAGGTAATAATGTCGGCATAAAAATCCATAATATGTATATATAAAGTCATCCACAGACAGACTGTATCGCAGCTCTTCAGTGTGGCTAGACATCCGGTTGCTTCTAGTTAGGATCGAAACGCGACTGAATTTGTGTCAGTCGGAGATTATACCACTACGCCGTCGGCAGGGAAGAAGATGAAGTTTAGCGTATTTATTTTTAGATAAACACAGTGACCGACAGTGACTCAATTCAATTTTGTCGAAGAGTCTCGCTATATCAGCCGTAATAGTCACTGTTTACAAACGCACTATATATATATATATATATATATATATATCACAATATATATATATATATATATATATAACAATATATATATATATATATATATATATATGTATATTATAGTGCGCATGTATGTGCATACGAGTGAGTGTGTTTAGGCAAGAATCTTTCATTAATGCATATTTTAAATATATAAACATGTTCTTTTTTTATTTAACTGTTTTTCTGTACCTGAAGCAGAACCTGGATGCAATCTGTGTAGACACTGATATAAGTCCAAGTATCTACCAAATACTGTTTTATATACAAACTATTTCAGACCAGTATAATATAGCAGAACTTAACAGTAAAGATACTTAGATTATGCAGGCTATTTTTTTAAATTGAAATTTTTGTAAATGATGGAATATTGCGATCATAAATTCCCACTTCGATCCAACGATACCTCTCAAAGAGGCCAATTTTTCAGAAGTCACTGATTTGTAACGAACAAAAAACAAACGAAAAGCAATTCAAGCGATTTTGCTTGTAGATTCTACTTCGCCCTCGACTTGAACCATTTTTTTAAATATCAAAAGCCGTAAATAATCTTTTAGAAAAATAACATACAATCCATATCGATGAAAATATTGTTTTTCTTTTCTTTTCCAGAGATACGCTAATGTTTCCATTGGGAATGGCATCTTCCAATCATATAAAATAAATGTACGCTGAAGGTTGCTTAAAGGCTTTGGCTTCAATATTTGTTCGCAGGAATGATTAATATTGCATAAAATAAAATGGCGGAATACTAAAAGAATAAGACTTCGCACATACAGGAACTAAAAGCTAACAATGTAAAAGTTTTATCTGCAAAGTCACCTTAAGGGAACAGGTTACTCCTTATATATACATACATACATACATATATACATACACACACACACACACACACACACACACACACACACACATATATATATATATATATATATATATATATATATATATATATATATATATGGTGGTTATAAATAACGCCTCAGGATTGACTACCGCGCCAAACTTTTGGTTGTAATTTTATAAGCTTTTATTTTTCCTTCTCATATTTACGGTCTATATATATATATATACACACACACACACATTATAAATATATATATATATATATATATATATATATATATATATGTGTGTGTGTGTGTGTGTGTGTGTGCATAGCTATATAGCTATATGTTCCAAGACATAGCGAAAAATATACATACGAACTTATCTGCAGATATGCATATATCAAACTATGCCGTACGTATATATATATATATATATATATATATATATATATATATATATATATATATATATATATATATATATATATTATGCGTATATATACAAATTCATATAAATATATACGATTAAAATATATAAAATTATATATGGATACGTCTGTTGCATATATGACTATACACATTCATAATATATGTAAATATTGTATGTAAACAATGTATCTAAATACCAATCTAGATATATGCGTAGACATACACACATACCCATATATATTAATATATATATATGTGTGTGTGTGTGTGTGAGTGTGTGTGTGTGTGTCTGTGTCTGTGTCTGTGTGTGCGTGTGTGTTTGTGTGTGTGGATATATAAAAATTCACATTAATATATACCATTAATATATATATATATATATATATATATATATACATTCATATGGATATGTGTGTATGCATGTATGACTATACACAGAAATCTATTGTAGACATATGCGTAGAAATGCATATACACGCATGCATATATATATATATAGAGAGAGAGAGAGAGAGAGAGAGAGGGGGATGGAGGGAGGGAGCGAAAGGAAAAATAATATACATCTGTGTAAGAAAGCGAGAAGATAAACATAATGACATAAATGTAAATGAATATAAAATCCGACATTGATTCGACGAAGGATGGAAAAAGAATCGTAGATGCTGATGGAAGAAGAGAAATCGATGATCGATTTCTTTGTTTCTCGCCTAAATCCCCACGACCAGGCAAGTTGGGAAATGGTGCAGCCAGTATCGAATAAAATTGCTCTTCTTTTACTTATTATTTCCTTAAGTACCGCTGAAAGCTCCGAGCTGATTCGTAAATTATAAGTGACACCCGGAGCTCGGTATGTTCCGGACGGAGCCACAAAGTTCAGCCTGACTACTCTCGATAATCCGCCCCCCCTCGCCCATTTCAGCACTGCATATCGATCTACACTTGCGGCTCTTTCCTTTCGGGTAATGTTAGCCAGAGAAAGCGCTGACCCCTATATACTACTCAACCCCTAATTCTTTCCCCACTCTCATATCGCACGTCATTCGGCAAGTAACTTAGCTAATGTATTCAGGCTAATCTTAAATGATGTGTACTGCAAAGATTTTGCGCATCGCAAGTCCAACGACTGTTGACATTGTTGTAAAAATCATGCGTCTTGATTCCATACCTTAAATTCTGAGATCAGTCGAGTTTTTCTCATGTTTGTTTTATCCTGAAATAATTATAATATTTATATACTACAGGAAGGACATCTTCATCGGATACTGTTTTCGATACGATTTATCTCTGTAAATACCTAAACATAATCATCTGAAATGCGCTCTACTTTTTCTGGCATATGTAAATCAAAAACAGACATGTTGGGGATTCCTCAGGGAGTAATATCGCCTGAAAAGATTAGACACGTCGGTTTGCAGAGGAAGAAATGGAGCCAAAGCGCGAAATTGAAAAAAAAAGGACGTAGCGCGCAGCAAAATCAGACGAGAAATATGAAACATTGCGGGTTCGTTAAAGACACTTGAACAAGTAATGCGATTTTTGTTGTCAGAACGATTTCAGAATGATTTTCTGGTCCAAGCCTTACTATTCAACAAGAAGAGAAAAGATAGATTTATACCTTTTCCAAGGCTATTTGGAACTCGGTTCTCTGATTTCTCGTTAGGTTGAAACACCGGTTTCCGTACTATCACCGACGTTAAGCAACGTAGAACTTGGTCAGTATCTAGATAGGCGACTGCTTGGGAATATCAGGTGTTGTAAGCTTGGATGCGTGGTACGGGTAATGGATAATGACTCGGAATTGTTAGTCAGGAAGCAGATTTACAATTCTAATTAGGTTCGTTATATTCACTTACGTTATACCTTTGTGAACGTTATGAATGCTTCTCTATATCCCCAGCTATGGGTTAATTAGTAAGACGTGCATCACTAAATCATAATTATCTCCTAAAAACGTATTACTATTTATACATATTCTCTGGCTTTAAATAACCTTCAAACTGTTGATATACCGTAGAAAACGAATCATTCAATTAATTATGTTATAACTTAATATTATTTTCGGTTTTAATATTCTAATTTGTAATATTTCATACGACAGAATTAATCACACGAAAAGTAAAAAGCCTTCAAAGAGGATAGATATTACTCTTTTAAATCAAACAGAATTTTGCTTTTATGAAAAACACATATAGAATTCAGTGCAGCTCTTGAATATTTTCTTATTATTTCGTAAATATATTTTGACAGGTGTAGTATGACATTTGTGCATACTGTCAGCATGTCCTATTTTACGAATAAACACGCCTAACGCAACATCATGAACCTTGTATTGTACAATGTGGATGCATTTCATTTGATTAATGTAATAGAAAGAAATATTTAATGTCAGCAATTTATTTAATTTTTTTCAATTCTGAAATTTAACGTTTTTCTTTAAGATGTTTTGCTTCTTTTACCAAAGCCGAAAAAGGTCAACCTACCAATTTGATTCCACTTGCAAGTTTAAAAAAAAACAAAAAAAACAATGTTATTTTAACTTGCCTTGAAGTAATGTATTTTCATTCACTCTCCGAAAACCACCTTTGCCAAATGAATTAAATTTCTTTCTATTTACATGACGCCACCAAACCTAAAACGGAAAAGGAACCGAAATACAGTTCCCAGTACGAAGAAACTACAGACATCGCCAAAATGGAAGGAACCTGTATTTAATACATCACTATTTTTAAGTTCTTTTATATTAATATTCACCTAATACAAAGCTCAGTGTAGAGTCTTAACATGCTATTCTATGAACGATGTTCACTGGACTATGCAGTAAAGGCAACGGCTTAAAAAGTCCACGATTGAAGTGATTAGAAAAACATCCTACCGGGTGTATGTTCCATAATGTATCAATTCTTGGGAAGAAGCTCTCCGAATGGAAGTTTTACTTTAGGAATAATAAAAGGAATAGAGATAATTCACCCTTGCGTATGTGTCATGGCGTCTCCCAGTTGTACAAGTCAGGGGTGGTGGGACTAAGAAATATAGAGTCTCAGAACACTTTCCAAGGAATTAGAGATAGAGAAGCGATAGGCTCGCAACGTTTGTGGGAAAAAAGGTTCAAGGGTGGCAAATAATTAATCATCCACAAGGCCGCGTAGATACCTTTTAATTCTGTCCAGACAGGCAGTTGATGACTGAACAGCTCCAGCCCATATACAGCAGAACTATTCCATTTTTTGATCTTTCCTGGGGCTTGTAAAGATCAAGAATAATATAAATAGTTTGGCCAAATATTACCAATATCGATCTAACAATGTTTATCAACCAGTGTTCCACAGAACGCAAGGCTTCCACAAGAGGTCGCTAGAGGTTCCTCGAGAAACTAATAAATGGGGTAATGTAATCTTTAGTAATTTTAATTAAATTTATGTTCGTAATTTTGCTATACACGTACGGCATATTGTTGTAAAATCATTGGTTATTAAAATAAAATCTCTGAGACAAGAGGGAGAGAAGGAAGAATTGCAACGCTATGTCATAGAGCTCAGACTGGAATTTCAGTTGCAACTACTGCGACCGTGTAAATCTGTCTCGCACTGGATTTATCAATCACTAATTAGCCTGCAAGTTACATGTACAGACTCCTTCTTGGTCTTCGTTTTGTGAAGCTAACCCATAATGATGATAATAAAATATACCGTAAATACTCGCGTATCATGCAACTTTTGAAGACCTAATTTTAAGGATAATTTGTCTACAGTAAATGGATATATAGTTTAGTCAACGGCGTAGCCAGAGTTAGCAGTACATATGCTAATTTCATATCTCGTGTATGATGCGACCTCTCCACGTAAAATTAGCTTCAAAATTAGGTCCTCAAATCTCGCATGATACGCGAGTATATAGGGTAAAAGGGATAGATATCAATAACTGCATATAATAATTTTATGCAGGTGCTCTCAGATACATGAAAACTATTATTTATTATTTTTGAGAAATACTGTGACTCTATATAGACATATAAGTGTAAATAAATGCGTAAATGGCGAATTGGGTTCCATCTTTTTTTTCTAACTGCAAGAAGAAAACCAGAATAAGGTAACATAACATTATATGTGGTGTTGCTGAGTTACAAGTTAACGTGAAATGCCTTTTGGCTAGAGATTACAATAAATGTTCTGCCATCTATGAATGTACTGAATAGGAAATCATTTAACTGGAATTAATGGAATTTATTTATAATCTAATAGTATTTCTTATTACAATATACGTCATATTTATTGAATACACGTGTCTGAGTAGACACCTTTAGAATGAGACACCGTATAAACGGTGATTCTCTAAGAGCGTTAAATAAGTGTAAGTCATCGACCCCTGCTCTAAATTTGACATGTTATCATTTTCTGCCGAATGTTTTGCTCGTAAATAGTATTCTACTTCTATCCGCGATTCATCTGGAGTCTCTTTGCCTGACTTTCAATTTAGAACTTAGTCTTAAATGCGTCATATCCATATAACTCATTCCATACTTTCTGCTGCCTTCCCTAAAATTGATTCTCACAAAGCATGCAGACTCAGTGATATTGCTGCAATTGGGCTCATGAAATGCGTTAGTGAACTGACTGTTGTTCTCCCTAAGCTCTACAATATATGCTTAGATGTTTCTTGGTTCCCAGCATGTTGGAAATTCTCTTCTGTAGTTGCTGTTTTAAGAACTCGGGCGAAGTTTCTAATCATTTGAACTATTCACCTCTTTTTTTGGCAGAGTACTTGAGACTTAAATCAACTCGGCATTGTCAACAGGCAGAGTTTTCTTTCCGAATAAAAATATGGCTTTTGCTCCCCGAGGTCAACTGCCGATGTATTAACGGTTATTGTTGAAACAGTCTGTAAATTTTTAGATAAGAATGGTGAAGCTTGGACTGTTTTCAAAGGTGTATTACGGTGTTTGGCATGCTGGTCTTCTAATCAAGTTGAAAGGTTATGGCGTTTTTAGTCGAATATTTGATTTGAATAAATCTTCCTTATCAAATCTTGAAATGATGTTTGTCTTAAATGGACACTCTTCTAGATCTTGTTCATTAGTGTCGGTACCCAATAGGTCTCAATTTTTGGATCTACTTTGTTCTTATTTCCTTCACCGACATTACCGATGTCATCAGTTCTCGAGTCTATATCTATACCGATGCAACTATTGTATTTACTGTTTTGTTAATGGTGACTCTGATGAGTTCGATAAAGTTCAACTGGCACCTGATCTCCAAAATTAGCGCCACGCTGTTTTAACTGGGGCAAGAAACGGCATATTAATTTTAACGGCTCCTAGAATGAAACTTCTCTTTTCTAATCGTATGAGAAAATCTGTTGATACTGGTTGATACTGACCTCCAGGAGTGTAATCATTGGTCTAATTTTTTATGACACGAAGGGGGACGATTATATAGAATCAATTACTAGAATTACTGCCAGGAAATTTGGATAACTGTGTGATCACTATTTTTGAAAATTTCTAAGCTTATTATTCATACATCGTGTCAGGTACATCTGTTATGTTTCTAGAGATTCTTGAGAGAATCCAAATATGAATCTGCAATATCACCGGACTTAACATGGCATCTCCGCTTCCTTCATTTTCCCACTGCCGTATCCCTGGGTCTTTTTCTATAAATATTATCATAGTAAATTTTCTGATGAGCTTTCTTCTTTGCTACCTCAACAAATTTGAGTGCAGTAAATAGGTACGGTGGAGTAATGGATAGCGGCTCGGATTGAGGAATCGGAGAGCCGAGTTCGAATTCCAGTCGAATCCATTACATTCACTTACGTGCTAATACCCTTGGGAAATGTATGAATTCTCCCGCCCAGCTATGTGTAAATAGCAGGACATACCTGGTTTTATAGACTTGGATGGCAGAAAAAAATGGCAGCCAACTGCGGGAAAAAAATCTGCCTCGTTCAGTCATGTATCGAAAGATACATGATCGCCGAAGCGTGTATCCCGCATGACACATAACTGACTGGCACTAGCAGCTAAAGTCTCATAATTTCACTATTTTAAATTGCTTGATGTAACCGTAAATTTTATGCTAAACCTTTTCTTCTTCTACACTTCTCGTTTGAGGAACTATTATCCGGTTTCTTCCTTTCCTGTCAAATACGATGTTCAGATTTAAATGCAACATCAATGGTAATTTTGTCTCTCCTTGAATTCTGAAGTCTTAATGTGTTCTCTCTCTCTACAAGGTTTTCTTTCACTCGCATATCCTAAATGTCCTCTGGGATTATTGTCTTCATCTTTGTTGTTACTATCGCAACGTTTTGGCGGTTGTGTCTACCAGCCTTTATCGGGTTCCTGCCCAATGGAGGCGACGTAAAAGGATGCTAGCCTCTGTGCTGGGGAGAGATGCCCGAAAGAAGACCTCGTTGTTTGGCGTTGCGATCCTCACAAGTCAAATAATGTAAATAGTGTAGGTAAAAAAAAAAAATAAAAATAGAAAAAAAAAACAAGGCAAAATGGTAATTTTAATTCAGATTTGTTACTGATGTCTCAGAATGTTTTTAATTTTCATATATTTTCATTACCTAAACTTAATGTAAATATATTTCTCTTTGTCTCTCTCTCTCTCTCTCTCTCTACACACACACACACACACACACATATATATATATATATATATATATATATATATATATATACTGGATTTGTGTATATATTGGTTGTGTGTGTGAAGTGGCTCGTTTATCTTCACTTATGCTTTAAATTCGCCTCCG